CATCCAATTTAGTTCTTGAATAGTTGATCTGAATTCCTAGAGTCTTTCTCAAGCACTCTAAGAATTCCAAGTTTGGATCAATTCGGCCAATCTGAAAATTTGCAGATCTGAATTCTCTTTCAAGCAATTMAAATCTTGCAATCTCAGATCTAAGAATTCAGATCTGAGTTTTAAAAGTTTAATTGGCTAAATTGATCTACAATTAACCCCTATTCAAGAAACTTCAAGAACAATTCACACCCATTCGAATGAATAAAAAAGAAATTGATTGCTGATCTGAAATTTTACAAACTTAATTACATCAAGAAAGAATGGAAGAGGGAGAAAGAAAAAATTACAACAAGGAAGCTGAATTCGAATCAAAGGAAAATGAAATTAAAATGGAATTATTATAATAGATTTCTGAATCAAAAACCCTCACTTACTCTTCTTGCTAGTTTGACTTAAACTTCTTCAGCTCTTCTTTTTCTCCTCCTTGCGCCTAGCCCTTCTTCTCTTCTCTTCTCTTTAAGGTGTTCGAACCTCTAGGAGTGGGAGAGCCTTTCTCTCAAGCAATTGAACACCTTCCCCCCTTCTAGAGGCCTCCTTATATAGATTTTCAAGGGGGCTCTTGCCCCTTCTTCAAGCCTCTAGAATGGGGTGTATTACACCCCCTTCTTGAACTTTCTAGAGTTCTCTTGAAAGCCTTCTAATAGTTGCTGCCCCGAGCTCTTTGGGCTGCACTTAGGCTCCCTTTTAGCACACGATAGCTACACTCTAGACTGCTCTTTTGGGCTGAGAATGGGCCTTCTTTACTGGGCCGAATTTTACTCTTTGCTAGGCTTTCTTTTCTTGTGTTTTTTTCAAGGAATCAACTTGTAATTCTTGGGCCAAAGTGTGCTCTCTTGCTTCCATAATCGAGCTAGGCTGAATTTGGTCTTTTTGGACATTATTTTCTTACCTTTTGCCTTTTTTTTTTGGATTAATTACCCCTAAAATCTTTTCTTAGCATTAAACTAAATTAGGGAAAAATTAAATAAAACCAAACATGATAATCCATGCAAAGTCCTCATAAATTATAGATAAATTGTATGTTCATCAATGGCTTAGCAGCTTAAGACGCTTAGCGCTTAATGTTTATTTAATTAAGCATGGGTTTGAATCACGTCAGCTACATTTTTTAAAATAGGAGTTGTATGCATATCTATATCGACACGTATCGGTCAATACGATGCGATACGCACTGATATAGATATCATATCAATACGCACAACTGACACGATACAATGCCTAATATCGTCCACTACTGATACAGATACGATATATCCTGTATATCGATATTTTAATCCTTAATTTCTATATATACATACATACATTATGTATTATATATAAGGAAATTGGGCTCGGCATTCCTCTTCATCATCCCCTCCTCTATGAGTTCACATCTGCGCCCCACAAGGTGGTGCCCCACAATGTCCCACAACACATCCCCGTTGTGTATTGGGAACTTCTCCCGATGATAGTACCAGAACCAGTGATGTCATCATTGGGAGATGTTCCCTATACATGGTGGGGATGTGTCGTCGGATGTTGTGGGGCGCAGATTTGAACTCCTCCTCTATTTTGTGATTTTTTTTTTCTGAAAATTTAACAAATAAAGTTTTATTGTGAAAGTATCCACTAACGTCTCTAAGATGACCATTGAGTACAGGTTGTGGGCTTTTTTGGATAAACCTACTAATGGGAACATCAATTGGGTGGCTTTTGATAACCTTTTCAACTGACATCCACGATGTGTAAGATTAGGTATGCTCATCAAATCTTCTACTGGCCCAACAATATCATTGCCCATTCATTCAATTGTTAGTGGCTTAATGGGTAAAGAAATATCCACTAATACTGGAAAGACATGATACCACCGGAAGAACTTTAACCAATCAAATTTCCCCTCATGTATATGTTGGCTTTTGGATAAACATAGTAATTGGATTATCAATTGGGTGGGCTTTGATATTATTTTCAACAGACACCTAGGGGTGCAAATGGATCAGATCATGATCCAATCTGATTCTATTTGGTCGAATTTGGATCACCCCAGTTTGGATCTTTGGATTGAATAATAGGATCTTATTAGAAATCAAATCGGATTCAAATCACCCCTACTCGATCCGAGAAGATCCAATCCAATATATATGCTATATATTTATTTATATAAATATATATAATATATATAGATGCTATTTATTTATTTATTTATTTATAAATATATTATTTATATTGTATTTTTGTAAATTTGTTATATTATTTATTTTTTATAAAAAACATGTATATATATGATGAAAGTAATTAAAAAATACTTGTACTTTTTTTGTTTTTCTTCATTTAAATTGGTATCTTTTATTTTTTTAATAATTTATTAATTTTTAAAGAAAACAAATCGGATAAGATCATATCAAAATATCTGATTTTCCAATTGAATTCAAATTCAGATCCATATCTATCAAATCTGATCGGATATACAATTAATAGTATTGGATTGAATTCGAGCATACCCTAATTCGAATCCAATCCAATCCATTTGCATGCCTACATACATCCACCATGTGTCAGAATAGGTGTGCTAAAAATCCTCTACTGGTCCAATTATATCATACCAACTTCTTCAATTGCTAGTGGGTAAAGAAATAACCACTTAGACCTGAAAGACATGAAACCAATCATTCCCCCTCCCCCTCCCCTTTTGAATTTTGATAAATACCACTTAACAAAATGATTTGGCATGATATCATTGGGCCAGTAGAGGATTGAAACTCAACTGCACATCCTATGTGAAAAGTGAAAAGAGAAAACCTTCAACTATTATTACTTTGAACGCCAGCCTATAGAAAATAGGAAATAGATCTAAAATGTTGAAAAAATAGAAAAAAAAATGATGGTATAAATTCTAAATAAATGACATATTTCGCCACTATTAATCAAGGTTTTTAAAATTGGATCAGACAATGAACTGGTCAGGAGTCTGGTTCTTGGGTCAAACGGTCCAACAATTCAAGCTAAATGGATGGCCCGTTCTGACAAAAATTAAAAAAAAAATAAAAAAAATAAGAAAAATAAAAACCGGCCAAACCATTGAATGGTTCGACCGCCTGAGTTAGCAGTTTGCTGATCAAATCAATGGTTTTTGGGGAAATAATAATTCTAAGGTAAAACATCATTTGACCGGTTTCTGGTTTTCCATTCTGACCATCCGGTTCGATCTGATTTTGAAAACCATGCTATTAATCATACTTTTTTCTGATTACGAATATGCCAGATCGTTTCACCTCCTTGGACTATCAGGTGTTAATTTTTGGCATTTACCGTGCATAAGAAACCAATTTCACTAATCACATCAAGCACAATTTAGGAAGCTTGATTGGTTGGGCTGGGCTAGCATAGGCTCGCCCAATATTCACTGGGCCTTTTACTGAACCTTATCATCAAGAGTATTCAAGAGCCTCATGTAGCTTGGCCAATTCTCATGATACTTTGTATGAGCTTGAGCTTTTTGCAAGCCTTAGTCCAGGTGCTCAGTCTTGGGTCAATTCAGTTAGCATAGGACGGGTTTGGATCTGCTAGCTACAAGTTATTCCCACATCTCTACTTTCAAGATCAAACGAGAGCTGGCTTGTTGGTGTGTTAGCTGGTTTATTTCAGCGTTGATGTGGAATCAAATCTTACAATCAACATAATGGGGAAAAAGGGGTCAGGGAGAAGTTATTAATGGTGCATAGCACTGAATACTGAAAAAAGAAAAAAAATCTCTACCCACGGGACATTACAGTTATGCATTAGGAATATTTCCCTTTTCATTCATAGGGAGATCTTCCCATGGTGATGGTGTTCTGTGGATATATATGTGGAAACATTTTGTGGGTAACAGATCCGGAGTGGCATAGGGCACACTTGCATTGGATTTGCTATTTCAATTTCCAGATGTTACTTGTAAGCAGAGAAGCCCATAAAGCAAAGCCCACTGCCCATGACAATAAAATCAAGAGTTCACTAATATTGGATACACGTTAAATCTATATCTCAGCCAATCACAACAAATTCATCAAAGTCTATTTACTTTTCATTGATTCACATCTCACAAAATGTAATTATCATCATGTTCAACCAATCATTTTTTTTACTGCACAGTACGCACCAGAGATTTTGCTTAAAACCATTTTTTCCTCTTTTCCTCTTTTAATTCATACAAACAAAATGTAACATCTGAACAAATTGAGACAAAACCCAACCCAAGCACGATTTGGTTTGCTTAGACTTCGGATAAATAAGGTAGGCTTGAGGTTTGATCTCCACTCACAAGCTTGAAATGATCAGGTTCTGATTTCTCCACTGCTTTTTGAGGAGAGATCAAATTAACTCCCCCATAACGTCCCACATCATATCCCCGCTGTGTATTGGAAACATCTCCCGATGATAACACCCCCCAATCTTGTGGGGGTACTGATTTGAGCTCTTTTGTGAGGAGTCTGTCTTACTAAATGGGGCTTTTAATATGATTTGGAGACTCGGTTGATATAACAAATTTACAAATCAGAATCGGCAAATCAACCTCCAACAAACATCCCCGGTTTGTTAGATTGGTTTTGGTTCAGTTGTGTCACTCAGTTTTCCTACAACTGCAATGCGAAGAAGACACTCAAAAGTGCTAAGATTTATTTAAGGTTTGTAGAGGAAAGAAACTGAGAGTTAATTTAAGGTTTGATACTTTATTCTGTTTTATATATATATATATATGAATTGTTTATACTGATGTTATGTCGATATTGGCTTTAAGTTGCATTTAATTTGGATTAGTTTGGGCTGAACAATGACCCAATCCAATAATAAATGATAACCCAACCCAGTTCCACCTTTTCCCAGAGGCTAATTGGGTTCCAGCCCAACCTGCCAATAGCCAATTGCCAGCCCAGTTGTTAGCTCGAGATTTCTAATTTTCTATTATAAAAAGAAAAATAAAATTCCATGTATAACTTTATAATCTGGAATCAAATTTTCTAATGCAGATAAAAGAGATATTTTACAACATGATTAAGTTATTAGGAGTTTAGGACTGCCCTCCCTTGAGAAATTAGTAAATTTCTCCAAAATTTACAATGTGTCAATAGATTTTTGAGATTTTTTTTTTAATAAGGCAAACTCTTTGAACTTGAGCTAATAACCAAAGCCTTGAGATTAGAAGATTCTCCGGCAGCATTTGCTCTCCTTGTAATCAGCTCCATGTTCTTATTCAGACTTTGTCTTACCATATTCTTCATCATTCTCTTTCCTTCGTTGGTCACTCTCTGACTCACAGGTGAGCCCACGATCACCCTTCCTGTTTGAGGCCCAGAATGGGCTCCAATCTTTGACTGCCTTTCATCCTTGAACCATTGCAATAGCTTCAATGCTCTCTTCTGGGCTAAGGAGCTTCCCAGCAAGGCCACCTCAAGGAGAACAGGAACAATTCGCAACTGTGACATCTTCTCTCTCTGGGCCGAGCTCTGATGTGCTAGAATCATCAAGATGTAGGCAGCCAGCTCCTGGCATTTGGGCTTGTCTTCCCATGTCAGAATCTCTATGAAGGTCCCCGGCACCATGGGTTCGTTTTCCATGGCCTTCTTTCCCACCACGGGCACAACCATGTTCCCCAAAGCTGCTAGAGCCTTCTCCGAAGTTTCTTTCTCAGAGGACAGGACTAATAATGTATGTACTACACCACTAGATACCAGAGGCCCTATGCTCTCCAACATGGTGGAGAGGTTATATATAGTTCCCAGACAGGCCTCCTTGGCTTCCATGCTTGCATCTGAAACAAGGATCCTAATTATGAAGGGAAGAAGAATCTCTGATGAGGCAATGTGGAGCTGGGTGTTGGCTAGAACAGAGATTGAAAGCATGAGTACGGCGAAATCTCGCTTCTCCAATTCATCCAAAGCATCGATGACGTCGCATTTCGGCAATTTTGAAAAGATTCCGGCCTCCACCATGAGAGCCTTGTTTCTGCAAAACAAGCAATAAAGAACTAAAACTTTCAACAACTAATAACTAACAAGGTTGAAAATAAAGAACAAGACGCAAATCAGACCGACTTTTGGGTTGAATAAGCAAAAAACCTATTTAGTTTGAAGAATCACAATTAAGATAAGATCGTTTGGTAAAGATGAGTCAACTGTGCTTTTACACCTAAAATTTCTGTTGTGATACCAGAAGGTCAATAATTTCAACTTTCAATTTTGTCCATAGCTCAGACGGAATCTTACCCCACTTCACCAATTTGATGGGTCTTGCTTGTATTTTTTATAAACCTGTCTCTTAACATGTCCCCTTTTATAATAGCCGGAAGGAGCTGTGTTCTCAGCGCCGGCTTCCAATCACCGTGGAGTGCTGAAGACACGCTGCGCATCTTACGGTTTCATAATTTAAGGTCATTTTGGTCATTTCAAGTATACATAACCCTTAATATTATTCACAACGCTTAAGTGTCGTGTTACTATAGCTTGCTACAATCAGACAACAATGGCCCTAAATTCCGATCTAACGGTCTTAAATATGTAAAATCTATTTGAAAGCCGCTAAAAGTGGTGATCTATCGGAATGGAGTGACGGGATCTGCTCCTCACAAATGGGCCCTTCACAGGCACATCCACCGTGCACTAGGAACATTTCTCATGAATAATAACTAATAAGCACGGAAGATGTTCTCAATGTATGATAGGATGTGCCTGTGAAGCGCCAAATGTAAAGAGTAGATCCAGTCTTTAAAATGAGTGATGGAATCTGCTCCACATAAATGGGCGCCTCACAGACACATCCACCGTGCATTGGAAATATCTCATTAATAAGTATGATAGGATGTGCGTGTGAGAGGCGCCAGGTGTAAGGAGCAGATCGCAGATCCGGTCTCCCAAAATGGATGGTTTAGATTAATGGATACAGTAATTAGGTTGGAGGACAATCAAATTTAAAGGTAATCTAATCACTGGGCAAGGAGATTGATAGGAATGGTCGTTGAACTAGGCTACTAGCTAGTAATTTCGTCGGCTATTGTTAGGAAATTAGATCATTTTAAAGAAAATTAGGGGTATTTTGGTCATGGAGAAATACTAGGCTTCCAGCCCGGGTCTCCGGGTCCGGGATCACCTGGCCTAAAAAGTCTCAAACCCGACGAAACTCCTGTCATCGTCTCTGTAAGACTCTTCAAAGTCAAAAGTGTTGAAAGCGACACTTCAATCTCCCGCCGGCGAAGAACATCAGTTTCCGGTGGTCATTAATGGAGCACTAATAAGAACCCTCACTCACTTGCTGGCGCTTAACAGACGCAGGGTGCGTACTGTTCACGATACTTGGCTAATAATCATAATCTTAATCTCATGTTCTCATTTCTCAAAGACTCACAAGAGACTCAAATCCATTGCTCCAGAGAGTTTTACACACAGGTGCGTATTTTAGAATCCCTCGAAGATCGAAAACCTCGAAATCAAGCGAACAACAGAGAGGACTGATAATCTCGATTCGAAGTAAGTCGTAAGGGAACTTACGTGTAAGTGCCATTAGCCAGCTCAATTAATGCCTGAACCGCCAATCGCCTACGATCCGAAGCCTCCGAACCAAGCATGGACACCAACGACGGTATAACACCGAGAGCGGCGAGCGACTTCCTCATCCTCAGATCCTCTCCGGCCAATCTCCTGATTTCCTTCACCGCAATCTCCTTCTCCTCCCAGCTCCCAAAGTGAAGCTGCTTTACGGATCTCTGCAGCATGAATGGTGAAGCTGTTTCCTTGGTTTTTCTCTCCTCCATTCCGGCCGTCTTGGTCTCTTCTTTCTTTTCATCTTCCTTTTCCATTTCAACTTCTTCTATTCTAAACTTGTCGAATCGATCGGATGCTCCGCAGCACTTGCCGGAGGCCTTCTTCTGCAAAAGGCGTCGGATTCGAGCAAAGAATAAGAGCTTTGTGGTGTATGAAAGGAACCAAGGAGAAGATTGCAACATGCTTGACGTTGGGTGAGGGGACAAAGTTGAGCAGGGATTGAAATCTAGTTCAGATTTCTTGTTTAAATTAATGATAAATCTTTTAATTACAGAGCTCAGAGAAAGCTTAGAGAGAGAGAGGGGGGGGGAGAGAATATAATCAACTAAATCGAGTTGGTCGGATAAGGACTCACGGAGTGTGGAGGCAAAACAGAGAGGGAAAGAGAGCAGAGAGCACATGCAGAAACAGAGACGTAGTTTTATAATCGAAATCTCAGAGAAATACGAGAGAAGATTTTGTTTGCCGCAACTGGCCACTAATTGATGCATATATTACCGAAATGCCATCATACAATACCGTAGACTGTTGGGTACTTGGGTTAAAGGTGCTGTGGTGGGTCCGACAGTGGATGCGAATCTGATGGCCGTAGAATGGGGACATGAGCAAATCACGACGGAAAAGTACGGCAATCAGGGTAAGGCCTTTTTCAGCTGGATTATTGATGGACCCACCAAAATGTCAGAGACGGAGATGTTGAGTTACGTGGCTTGGGCCTTGGTGCTGTCTCCTCCGGGAACCTCGATTCCGTCGTTGTGTAGCTGTAGATGTACGAACAGAGAGAGAGAGATTTGAGAGAGGACGATATTCTATTTCCGTCTGCCAAACAGGTCCAAAAAGCAGATGATGGGCATTGGCCCACCAGTCCCCACCAAGAATAGTAGTACACCTAGGCAGCTAGGTCCATTTTTACTTTAGAGCCCAACTGCTCGACCCATGCAAAAGTATAAGCTGGACCACGACTCCAGGAGAAAGAGATCAGTCAGTCCAATGTAAAGGTCAGCCTCCCATTACAGTTATATAGGGTCATTTACTTGGATATCTCTATATTTTTTTTGTTTTTATTAAACCTATCCTTTAGTTTGTTTATTTCCAAAAACACCTATAATTTGCAACCACTTTACTTTATCACCCGGACCCATTTGTATTTCTTTCTGGGAATGGTCACGTGCTTAAGTAACCTTTTAAAATGGGTGAAAATTTTGTTTAAACATGAATCCAAGGTTGTTTATTCCACAAAGGTATTTTGTAATAAAAAAACCCTAAATTCATGTCCTTTCATGTTTTCTAATCATTGTAAGAAGTCACATGACCATTCCAAGGGGGTGTTCGGAAACAATGGTTAGTTTTGTTTTTGGAAACAAACAATTTCTATATCAGTAAAAGCAATATAATTTTTCTATTCTGATGGTTGTTTTTATCTTTAAAAATCAAATCTAAAATCAATTATGTTGTTAAATACCCCTAATCCTAAGACTGTATTTTGTTTGAAGGAAAAAATAGGAAAAAAAAAAGATAAAAAACCTTTACCAATCTTATATAGGATTTCCTGCCTTTTCCTTTTTTCCTTGCCTTTTCCTTTAAACGAAACATAGCCTAAATGGTTTGAGATGAAAAGCAGTAGCAAATTATAAAGGGTGTTTTAGTAATATACATGTCGTGCAGATAAGAATATTGAAGATATGGATCGGGTTTTGGCCAATGGCCACGGTGGACTCCACTACGTGGGTTGGTCTAAACTCTACATTTCTATGTTTGGTTCTGGGCCTCACTTTTTTCCTCAATAAACCCAACTTCTATTTCAGGGGGCTGGTTTGGATAGATCAGCTTTGACTTTTGATAAATTGGACGAAACCTTAGATGGATCAAAATAAAAAATGCCCATTGTAGTTTAATGCAAAGCATTTACCAAATCTATTATCTATGGTCTCTTTACCCAATTTATATAGTCAAACCCTAACAGCCTAACTAAATGTTGACAGCCAGTCCAGCCCAGCCCAACATTAGAAGCAAATGGGCCAGACTAGTGAAATACACCCACCTGTCGTCCATGGTTAAATCATCGTACACGCATACAAACATTCTCAACAGAATACATAGATATAAATAATATTAAAAATGAGGGTACCTAACTTTCCTAGCTTAAGAAAAGAACAAAGTCAAATCAAATGAAATCTTGTATAGTTTCACAACTCCCCCCCCCCNCCCCCCCCCCCACTCTCTTTGGTCCTTTTGTGGTTTTTATTTCTTGAATTTATAAAATAACTAGAAAATATAAAAACAAATGAACTTATTTCAATTCACCCACAACCAATTCAATTTTCTTTTTAGAGTTACGAATGAATATTTATGATATTTTAAATCTTTGACTTCAATCAATTATGTTAAAGAGATATATGGTCTTTAGTTCACGCTTTATAAGATGACTTTACATAAAGGACTTTAATAATGTCAAAATGTGAATTCAAATCAGCACATTCCTGCCATGTATTGAAAATATCTTCCGATGATAATATCAGGAATGATGATATCATCATTGAGAGGTTCTTAATACATGGCGGGAATGTACTGCAAGAGGTTGTGGGGGGCTGATTCGGTCTCTAAAGATGTCAACTGAAACCCGTCACTTGGTCCACCATACAGTTTCTGCCCCATAGATTTTGCCATCTTTTTATCAGAAAATCTAATTTAACCATTACATTTCTTACCAGATGACTGCATTTCTATTGTTAGCTAACAAGGGCAATCAAGCTGCCTCGAAAGTGTTTTTCATTATAAAGGATATTAGGGAGTTCAATGATCATTTTAAGTTTGTGAATGAGTCTTATAATAGTTTACCTCATTTCCTACCCTAGAAAATGTCTATATCCGAGACAAACTCCTTTTGTTTTAACTACACTAAGTGGATTCATGAGCTGTGGTGTTTGTTTTCTTCTTTGTGTGTTTCCAGCCAGCCATGACTTTGTTTTCTTCTTTGTGTCTTTTCCGTCTGTGGTTGTGGTGTTGCCTCCCTTTGTATTTTTCCTTTGTTGTTGTTATTGTTGTTTTGCTTTAAATGAAATATCCTTTTACTCAAAAGAAACAATACCAGTCAGTGCATTGTACAGATCTCTTCTAGTATATACATAAAATGGAGTTGTCCATGTCATGACTCTTCTCTTCTCTTAATGGACCTCCACATTTTGTTATATGTTTTAAATTTTTGAGAGAAAATAGAAAATATTTATTGAATGTGGGGGCCCATTTCAATTCACCCATAACTGATTTAATTTCGTTTTCATCAAGAAATATCTAATTACTCTATTGTCAAATATGGAGCATATTTAACATCACTCCATGCATCACATGGGTCCTTCTAGTTCAAAAAGAAAATCTTTTTTCCCCTAGCTGAAGATCTTTAGTCTTTAGACCATATTTAGTTGCAAAGAAACAAAGAACACTGGTAGTACACATTTTACACCAAAAAAACAAAAAAAAACACAACTGATTCTATATAAAGTTGGGGCCATGTCATTTTGCATATTACTTTTTTTATAAGTATTTTGCATATGCTACCTTACTCCTCCCAAACAAATAACCTTCCCCCACTTACCTTTCTATTTTGTAATGCATGGACCACATTATTTTACTTCTTACAAACAAATCAAATTAAATGAGATTAAAGTAAACCTGAATTTATACTCAACCCAATTGCATTCCCTTGCATTTATCCAAGGTGAAATTCGCACTACAAACAAACAGGACCTTAGGCCATGTTTGGTTCACTATTATAGGCCTTATTCTCTTAATTTTTGCTCATTCTAGGCAAGAAAGGGCAAGAATGAATAGCATTAGAGTGTTTGGTTACAAAATTCTTTCCTAGGGTCGCATTCTTTTTAGAATGAAAAATTAGTTCCATAGCACAAAAGTTCGGTAGCTTGTACTATGAAAAATAATCATGTCCCATCTTGCTCATTTCATTCTTTGAGGAAAATCTGCCTACGAAACAGTTGCCATAGATATTTACTTTTGCGAAATCACTTTTATAAAAGTACTTTTACGAAAAACTTTTATAAAAATACTTTTACATGAAAGTACTTTTTTGAAAGGACTTTTACATGAAATTACTTTTGTGAAAGTATTTTTATGATAGCACTTTTATGGAAGTGCTTTTACGAAAGTACTTTCATAAAAGCACTTTATGGAAGTACTTTCACAAATGCACTTTTATAAAAGTACTTTACTAAAACACTTTTACAAAAGCACTTTTATAAAATCACTTTTGCGAGAGCACTTTTATGAAAGTACTTTTACAAAAGCACTTTTATGGAAATGCTTTTACGAAAGCACCTTTATAAAAGCACTTTACTAAAGAACTTTTACAAAAGTACTTTTATAAAAGCACTTTTGCAGTACTTTTACAAAAGCACTTTTACAAAAATACTTTTACGAAAGTACTTTTATGGAAGCAATTTTATGGAAGTACTTTTACGAAATCACTTTTAGAAAAATGCTTTTATGAAAGCACTTTTATAAAAGGACTTCTACGAAAGTACTTTTACAAAAGCACTTTTAGGAAAGTACTTTTATAAAAGTACTTTTGCAAAAGTACTTTTACAAAACATTTATGCCAAATGGTAAACATTGACTGTTGGAGACCTAAGCTGGCGGTTTGTGAATACTAGCACTTTTTTTTTTTTTTGAAGAATGAAAATGAGCAACACAGGACACTTGTCAGTCTTAAAAGAATTCATTTTAAAAAACATATATATTTATTTCATAGCAATATTTTCTTAATCTGCCTATTTTTATCCATTCTTTTTTCATTTTAGAATTTTATCTTGAATAAAAATGAAAAAAAAATAAAAATTGAACCAAACATGACCTTATATGCAAAATAGCAAATTTTACCCTTTCAACAAATCCTAATCTTATCTGTACCTCAGCTGAGTCATTCCAGCTCTTTTCGTCAATAAGCAAATAGAAAATGACATTTGTGACATGTCCAGTATCTTATATCACAACATCTAATAGCATTCCAAGGAGTAAATTATAGTTTAGTAATTTCCTTGTACGTTAATTCCACGATCATCCCAAAATTTTAGTCTATTCATTTATTTTTTTCTCTTTTTGCACACCTTCAAATGCACGTACCATTCAACTAGCTAGTATGTATAAAATTCATGTAACACATATCTATATAGATGTGTTAAGCCTTAATGGAACTCCCACCAGAACCATTTAAAAGATTGAATTGAATAAAGGAGGTTTAGATTTGGTAATCAGGTTACAAGTGTTAATGCCCACCCACAATCCACAAAGCCATACTTCTGATTGGATGAAGATTGCATCCACAATGCAATGGTTTGATGCTTTGAGACTTGGGGGAGGTTGGTGAATTGGCGATAGCTTTC